CCCAAGGTTGGGGACCACTGCTCTAGAGCACTGGTTCCCAACCTTGGGTAACCCAGGTCTTCTTGGACTGTAATTTTCAGAAGCCTTCAGCACTAACTGTGCTGGTCAGCGTTTCTGGGAGATGCAATCCAAGAACACCTGGGTCACCCAAAGTTGGGAACCACTTTTCTGGAAGTATCAAGCTCAATGTTAAATGAATGAGGTGGGGAGAGAGTGGGCCATTAAGTTGTTGTCCCACTGCAAATCAGCTATGTAAGTACAGTAATTATAGATAACTCCTCAGCAACGCCAGCTTTCCACACTTCCTACAATAAAATCACACCAGGTCCTCACTGCATAAAGAATGATTGTACGTGAATCTCAAAACTAGGCACATCAACTGACACCATATTCCACTGCTGAGTTCTTTTCAATTTTATGATTCTACTGAATGCATATGGAGCAACTGTACTGTTTATATGAGTGTCTGGCAGGCATTTATTTAACAGGTTGCTATGGGACCATGAGGATCTCACATTTGATTTTGAGATAAACAGGGGCTTTATTTTTAGCTTTTCATGCAATGTTGACTTGATTACATCAGAGGAAAAGGAAAGACATCAGCAATAACTGAGGATAAGGAGTTCAATGCTATTTTTATCTGGGAGTGCTAACTGTGCGACTTCCTCATGTTGGCCAAGTTATCAAGATGACCTATACAAGCCATCGGAGGCAGCAGTTAATTCTTATCATAAAGAAAAACCATCCTGCTGATGACTGTGGAATACAAGAGAAGATTTAAAGGAGGTCCTGGATAACTCAAATAATATGTCATGGAATCTATTAATCTTGCTTCATTTTAATTAATTGCTCATTTTCTTTACAGTCTGGGATTTTATTGCATTTATGACTGTGAACATGTGCGGACCTGCATAGTATTCATTTGTTGATGTAAGTGTGTGTCTATGTCCACATGCACACGCTTACAGACTTGTGTAATTTCAGGCCTGCTAACAATGAATGTAAGCTTTGGAACTGAAAATGTTCTATATCCCTAACTCATATAAATTGGTACTGCCATACTGACAGGCAAACATCTCAGTGGTCCTGAGTTTGTGCAAATCACATGGTGTCCATTCCTTCCTTTTACGACTGCAGCATAGCTGCAGCATAGTATTAAGGGAGCTGAGTAGTTTGTTTTGAAAATCTCTGTTTGTCCTGGACATGGCCACAATCTTCCTACATTACTTTGTTGAATTCATGCAGACTCTCTGGAAAATGGGCCAGATGAAAGCTACAATTAGAATGTACAAACTGGGGGGCAGTTTATGAGGGTTGAACCCAAAAAGAATTCGGAATGGGTTTGCTCTATGATCATATTCAGCTTTAAGACCTGTGTGACAGGCAGGTACGTATATGTCTGCTGCAGTAGGCTGGCAAAACAGGAAGAATTTCAGTTCAGTTAATTTGTGAAGAACTTGTCAAATTTACCAGTATTAATTCCTGCATATCCAGGACAAAATGAATTTGAAGTACCGGTATATGTAACTTGAATGTGGGCAAAAAAAGAAGTGGCCTTTTTGTGGGGGACCCCACCTGTTTGTTTGCTCGTGCATAATTCTAATCACCTTCATGGGCAGCTATTGTCACAGCGTTATGAACAAAAATGGAGAAAGTTACTTTTGGGAAGGGGCTAAAAAGGTAAAGGTTCCCCTTGACATTTTTAGTCCAGTCGTGTCCGACTCTAGGGGGCAGCGCTCATCCCGTTTTTCAAGCTGTAGAGCCAGCGCTTGTCCAAATACAGTTTCCGTTGTCACATGGCCAGCGTAACTAGGGAGCACTATTTTACCTTCCCACCCTAGTGGTACCTATTTATCTACTCACATTTACATGCTTTCGAACTGCTAGGTTGGTGAGGAGCTGGGACAAAGCGACGGGAGCTCACTCTGTTGCGTGGATTCAAT